TCATACAAACGCCAAGCATACCGAAAACTCAGAAATCAATATTACTTCGTGTATTTGCTGTTTTTATCTCGATTCCTCCTGACTGAGAATACTGCTCCGCATGCAACTCTGCAGATCTCTCGGATGTAGAAGCCTGTAGGGAAACCAACACACGCGCCAGCATGCCAAACTCCCTGAAATCGATATAACTTCTATATTCAGTTGTTTTTACTACAAAAACACACGTGTGATTGCATATCGCACAAATCCAGGGACAGGCTGCCGAGCGCCGCACGGCTCGTTTTACTATATCCCGCGCGGCCGCTAATCCGCAGCATTCACCTCTACAACTCACGCCTGTTCATGGGACAGGCTGCCGAGCGCCGCGCGGCCTGTTTTTACTATATCCCGCGCGGCCGCTCATCAGGGCCCTCGTCTCTACTGCTCGCCTCTCAAGATGCTCTCCAATCTGCGCTGGCACCGCTCGCGCCTGTTACGCTCCGCGCGGTCGGCCATCTCAGCCTCCTGGGAATCATATGTATATATGATCTATCTATCTATCTTTCTATTTATCTATCGATCTATATATATATATATATCTGTCTATCTATCTATCTACATATCTGTATGTATATATATATGTATATATATGTATATATATGTCTATATATCTATATCTATCTATCTATCTATCTATATATATATAAATCTATCTATCTATCGATCTATATATACATATCCACATATCTATCTATCTATCTATCTATATATCTATCTATCTATCTATATATAACACAATGCGCGGTGCCATTCTCCATCCTCCTCCTCCTCCCTTCCTCCTTCCTTCTCCGATGTTCTCCCTCCTCCTCCTCCTCCTCCTCCTCCTTTCAAGTATCCTCCCTGTGTGTATGGTTTCTAAGACCCAATCCTTGTCCAGCTCGTCCATGGTCACGCCCCACTTCGCCAGCACCGCGGCCGCTTTGGCTGCAAAGCCAGCGGCGCGAATGCGGGCGGCTTTCTGAATGTCGCGCCTCTTCTCCACGAGCTTCGCATTCTCGTTCGCGGAGGGTTTGTTCCAGCGCGACTCGTGGGAATCGATGGAGAACCAGACTTCCTTGTCGGACTTCGTCTTCCGCAGCTCCCACTCCGTATCGACCGCCCACTGGGCGATCGACGCCGAGAGAGCTGCTTCGTCGGGCGTCTCTTGAAGAAGATCCCCTGGTTTAGGGATGTCGCTGCCCTCGTAGACGGACTCGCCGTCCTTGGCCGCAGGGCCCGCGTCGTCCACCTCGTGCTTGTACCAACACTTCTCTCCGTACGAGCAGGACCCAGCCTTGTAGTGGAAGCACGCAGGACGGCTGCCGTTCCCGTTGTCCGTGCTGCTGCCCGCCGACGCGTCGGCGCCGCTGTGGTAGAAGCGGCAGCGCGCACCGTAGGAACACCAGCCTTTCTTGAAGTCTCGGCACAGGGGCCGCCAACCCTGCTTCGCCCAAGAGTGGTGGGCCTTCGCGCTCTGTTGGGTCTCCTCTTTCCCGCCCTGCTGCTTCCCTGTCTGTTCGTCTTTTTTCTCCGTCGCCTCCTTCGTCTTTTCTTTCTCTCCTTCCTTTTGGTGGTGGCCGCCCTCGTAGTGCTGGTGTTTCTCCTCCCCTTTCTTTTGCTTCTTCGCCTTCTGGAGGGCCTCCTCCTCCTTCTCGGGGTCGAAGAGCCATTTGCCTTTCGGCTTGAACTCTCTCCCTCCGGCCACTGCTTCGGCCCATTGCCGCTTTTGGCGGGAAATTTGCTTCTGATTGGCCGACATCGCTGTCGTTGTCTGAGAGCGCACTGATTGCTTAAGCCAAAACTGCTATAGAAATCATGTCTCATATCCTCGCGTCCTCCTCCTCCTCCTCCTCTCCTCCTCTCCTCCTCCTCCTCCTCCTCCTCCTCCTCCTCCTCCTCCTCCTCTTCCTCCTATTCATCACCATTCTCCCCACTCCTTCATCCATCCATCCATCCAGCTAGCCTCCTCCGTCTCCTCATCCCTTCTTCGCTCGGCTCGGCTGTCCCCCTCTTTGCTCCCACACTTCCCTGGTCACCTCAACTCGCCTGGGCGTCGTTTCTGGATGGGCTGGTGGGGATACGCGAAGCGTCAACAATTGTTACGCTGAGCGCTCGGTGGCTCCCTCGAGAAATTCCGAACCACGAATCTCTTTTGAGGAGGCCCTGGGGCCGTGCCGATAAGGAGCAGCAGGAGGAGGAGAAGTAGGAGGAGCAGGAGGACGAGGAGAGGAGGCAATGCTATTGAAGTGCTCCCCCCTCTTTGTTCGATCTCCTCCCAGATGGCCCCAAGAGGCGCCGAGGAGTGGTCTCGGAAGCGTAACGGGTGCCTGCGTTTTCAAAGTTTTTCATAAGGCGGCCGCTTCTTCCTTTCCGTGATAAAAAGAAATCCTTCTGCAATCCGCCACAAAAGGAATCCTTTTGTAATCCGCCTCAAAAGGAATCCTTTTGTAATGCGCCGTAAAGGGAATCCCTTTGTAATCGCTAGCAAAAGAAATCCTTTTGTAATCCATCACAAAGGGAATCCTTTTGTAATCCGCCACAAAAGGAATCCTTTTGTAATCCGCCTCAGAAGGAATCCTTTTGTGATGCGCCGCAAAAGGAATCCCTTTGTAATCGCTAGCAAAAGAAATCCTTTTGTAATCCACCACAAAACGAATCCTTTTGTAATCCGCCACAAACGGAATCCTTTTGTAATCCGCCTGAAACGGACCCCGTTTGTAATGCGCCGCAAAAGGAATCCCTTTGTAATCCGCCACAAAAGGAATCCTTTTGTAATCCGCCACAAAAGGGATCCTTTTGTAATCCGCCCCAAAAGGAATCCTTTTGTAATGCGCCGCAAAAGGAATCCCTTTGTAATCCGCCACAAAAGGAATCCTTTTGTAATCCGCCCCAAAAGGAATCCTTTTGTAATGCGCCGCAAAAGGAATCCCTTTGTAATCCACTACAAAAGGAATCCTTTTGTAATCCGCCACAAAAGGAATCCTTTTGTAACCGCTTCGGAAATAGACTGCGCCCCCCCCCGAACAAGTAAAGGAAAAAGAGGGAAAAAATGAAAAATAAGAAAAAAACTGCAAAAACACAGCGAAAAACAGGAAAAAATGCAAAACTATTGAAGGGAGAAAAGGAAAAATATGAAAAATTGCAATTACAACAGAAATTCTTTTGTAATCTGCCACAAAAGAAATCCCTTTGTAATCCCTTACAAAAGGACTCATTATGTAATCCGCCACAAAAGGAATCCTTTTGTAATGTGCCACAAAAGGAATCCTTTTGCAGAGGACTACAAAGGGATTCCTTTTGTGGGGGATTACATAATGATTCCTTTTGTAAGGGATTACAAAGGGATCTCTTTTGTGGCAGATTACAAAAGGATTTCTATTGTAATTGCAATTTTTCCTATTTTTCCTTTTCTCTCTTCAAT